AAAGTTCGTTGGGAATTATATCGTTTGTTACAGAGCGACTGTTGAAGTTGAGTGTATCGTAAAGTTGTATTCGGAAAGAATAAACCAGTTTTATTTAAGAAAGGACTTGTGTCGCTAAAGTTTCGTCGGAACGAATTTACGGAAAATCAATTAACGGACGGAGACGTAACAATATTCTAACAATAAATATAAACGTGTGTTTAAATATTCTAACAATAAATATAAACGTGTGTTTAAATATTCTAACAATAAATATAAACGTGTGTTTAAATACTCTAACAATAAATATAAACGCATGTTTAAATATTCTAACAATAAATATGAACGCGTGTTTAAATATTCTAACAATAAATATAAACGCGTGCTTAAATATTCTAACAATAACTATAAACGTGTGTTTAAATACTCTAACAATAAATATAAACGTGTGTTTAAATACTCTAACAATAAATATAAACGTGTGTTTAAATACTCTGAAGATATTTTTGGTATTAAAATGAAGTAGACTTAACGCTCTGTATGTAAAATATAATTCCTTTTAACTCAAATAATCACTGCTTGTTTAAAACGTTCATTTGAAATGTGGATCTTCAACTCAACAGTTTGAGAGATTATTATGAAAGTTTCAATATTCTGCCAACACTTTGAGTTTTATATGCTTGATAGTATCTGCTTCACAAAACACTCAGACTGGGTGTTAAAAATCCATGTTAATTAACAAATCACTCAAGCCAACACTTAACAACGTGTGTTAAAAAACAAGTCACTCAGACCAAACCTTGACAATAAATATCAAGTAACAAATCACTCAATCCGAGTCCCAACAATGTTTGTTAAGCAAAAAATCATTTAGATCGTCTAGTAACAATGTTTGTTAAGTAGCAAGTCACTCAGACAACTTCCCAATAATTTGTGTTTTGTAACAAATCACTCAGACCAACTCTGAACATTTTGTTTAACTGACAGATTACTGAGACCAAACTTTATGTCTAGTTAGACAGTAAATACACTAAACGTACCCTAAAACTGTTTAAATAAAACGTGTATATATTATCCTTAAACTTGTTTGTTTAGCCTAAAAATCGCTAAAATGTTATTATCAATAATGCTAATTTAATTATTAAATACTGTTACGACAGCGGAAGTCACGTGGCGCTGGTAGCGTGCGTGAAGTTTCTCGAATTATCGGGGAAGACCGAGTTTCTTCGAGACACCCTCTTATTTAGTATATAGTATGGTTGGAGGAGAAAGAAAATAAACAAGAAGAAAGTCTCCAACAGTTGAGAGAAAGCCAGCATACACAAATGGAAAAGATAAGTAAATTTCAAAGTGAATTAAATACATTAAAGGACGATTTTCTGTCTTTTACACAGGGAGGATATATTAACCATGGACCTAATCAACCCCAGACAACAGGAAGCCCCTTCCAGACCCCGCAGCTAAACCCTAATGCAGTCATCTTCAGTCCTACCAGAAGTCACATCCCAGATATGAATGTCAGCAATAGGGGTGATCTAGTATGAAGGAAGCCACAGGAATTCGATGGGAAGGCACCGTGGGAAGCATATAGAGCACAATTTGAGCTACTGGCAGAGATGAATGGATGGACAGAGGAGCAGAAAGCAGTGTACCTGGCAACGAGCTTGAAGGAATAACCACTGGAAATACTTGGACAGTTGTCAGCAGACGACAGGCACAACTATAGAGCACTGGTAGCGGCTCTAGAACTCAGGTACGGAACCCAAAAATCAGTCTGAAGTCTATAGGGCTAGGTTTAGGACGAGAGTCCGTGCTATAGGGGAAAGCCTGCAAGAGCTGGCACAGGACTTGGAAAGTATGGCACACAAGGCCTACCAAACTGCACCACCCGATCTC